TTTTTTTTTTTTTTTTTTTTTTTTTTTTGTTTTCTTTCTTCGCAATTCGAAAGGACGGCCGGTCAGTCTATCGGTAATGGCAGACAACGAGCTGTCGATACGTCTCGCTCTCTCGCGATCTATCGTTGAAAAGCTTGCTGCCATCTCGGATGCCAATTTAACATACAATGATTCGCGAAAGTGTTCACAAGCACTAGTCGTAGGGAATTTCTATGAATTTATTTGTCATTAAAGAAATGTGCGTTCACTCTGATAATTTCCTGAAATTATGTCATCATTATGTGTGTCCACGTGGAGAAAAATTACTTTGGAAGAGCATCAATAATTGTTATGTTAACTCTGTTTCATCGATGATGTGTATACCTTTTTGTTCTATTACCATTACAATTTTTATAACAATTCTTTTCCTTATTATTAAATGATCGTATAAATTGCTCTTATATTGTTTATTTATCGCAATTAATGTAAGCAATTTTTTTATAATATTTCTCGAAATGCACAAAGAGAGGATAATGCAATGTTATTCTATGTATTGCAGTTACTGCATGTAATAACTCCCAAACACATTGAGAAATCGATTACATTACATTTTATTATATTTTATTACAAATCTAATAACTGTAATCTGTGACATTATGATTTCTTAATCAATTTAAAAACTTTTACAATTTACAAAGATAAATTAACTTTTAATTAATTTCTTGCCATCGCGTAAGCGTGATTCGCTTTTAACAAAAAATCATTAAGTATCTTGAAGGATTAATTGACGATTAATCATCGAAGAGGTTAATCGCGCTTGTTGAAAAACTGATACATATATCATTGAATTTGTCCTTCGTTACACAATATCCTCATCAAAATTCCCCACTGGTATCCAAACACTCTCACGAACCACCGTACGACAATCGATCGTTAAGCTCACCTACGACAAAGCTCCGAAAACCAGAGTACAGTCGACCGTGTTCTCTCGTAGAATCTCGGTCGTCCGGATCTGTCATATTTACAGCTGGCGATCTACGAGCGATCGATACCCGGCGAACACACCTATGTACAGAATCGCTGAAACCATGACTCTCGCCTTCCACCTGATAATAATGATTCCTCGGCTACCGATCGCTCGCAACGCACTCTTTACCAAACTATCTTACTGTATATTTTATACTGTACACCGTAACGCAATATATACAAAAAAAAAAAACTGCCCCCATCGGAAAGAACCCAGGACAGCGAAGCTGCTCGAAAAGAAACCCTCCACGTTGCTGGTCGTCTACGAAGCTCCGTGGACTTGAAATCGTCGAATCCGCGCTTGCACCGACTCGCACTGCACCTCGCTGTATCTGGTGTACCTGCCGGCTCTCACAGGCTCGCGGATCACCACCAGGTTCCCGCCCCTCTCGCGAAGTGCCTCCAATCCAGTCTTCCCGTGGACGGTCGTCGGCGGTGTCGTCGCCTTGCCGAACTTCGCGTTCGAGCTCTCCGAGGAGAAACGGCTGAGAGCCTTGCTCACCACTCCGTTGCACTCTCTCGGCCAGACCCTGGTGTGGTGCCTCTGCTCCCATCTGTCCGAGGACGCTTCCGAGGCTGAGAACGGGAAACTAGCCCTGCCCTGGCCCTTTCCGTACAGGATGAAATCCAACGAGTCGTCCGAGTAGATGCTGCTTCGGTCGCTGGAGCTGTCGGTAGAGATCTCCGAGACCGAGTCGCTGCCGCTGTCGCTGCATTGTTGCTCCTCGCCGAGGATGAACACCGGCGTGCACTTGAACACCTCGCCAGCTGGCATCGTGTGCGTGGCCGTTGCTCTCCTCTGCGTGTTGCTTGTTACACTTGAGGTGTTGATCGTGCCGCCGGACGAATTCACCGGCTCGATTATCACGATCTCCGTCCCTGAGAATTTCTGCGCCAGAGTGTCCATGTTCCTTTTGAACGTGTCCCTGCGATCGGAGCTCAGGCCGAACCGGCTCGGCTTGGGCGACAGCTTCGATTTCGTGTACAGGTTCTCCGTGTGCGAGGAGACCGCTCTGTTTGCTGTTGGTTTTGCTTCGATCGTCTGACAGCTGGTCGACGATCTTTGTTTCTCGGCCTCGGTCTTGACTATGGAGGGCACTGTTGTTGTTTGGTGGTTGTCGTTCGCCGCTGGTTTCGAGAACGAGCTTGTTTCTGTCGACGAGGCGTCTTGGATGGACGATTGGTCCAGTGCTGGGCAGGTGGAGGATAATGGCGGCTGGGGGTCGTCGAACATGCTGAACCATGGGTGCTGCAGACACTCCGTGGCCGTCAAGCGTTCGCTAAAAAAAGAAGAAGACTTTCATTAATATTTCGATCCATAATGTAGTTCAGTTATATAGTTTAATTACATAATTCAATTGCACGGCTAAATTATCTAGCTCGTTCATATAATTTTAATATAAATAGTTCAATTATATACATGCAGTGTAATTATCGAATTAATATATAGTTCAATCATACAACAATATTGCTGAATTGATTCTCGTTTTTTAATATATTAAAACAATTATTCTAGTTGATATGAATTTTAAAATATGAAATGTATGATATTTGTTTCTAAATTTAAGACTTGAAATTCATCTTTAAAAAGGATAGAAGTTTATCTTAAAAGTCTGAAAATTGAAGTATGTATCCTGCGTGTGTTTTATGAAATATTTGGAAACTTTATTAAAATTTGTAATTAGACACGATTGTCACGGTTGAATTTCGAATAAATGTATATGGAAGTCGCAGAATGCGAACTCATTGCAAATACAGCACGAATAACTATTTTAAGCACACAGTAAGTGTTAATGACGATTCCACTTGAAATTTATCAATATAGTAGATAATTAACCGTAAACACGTTCGTGGTCTCTGTGAAATGTAATTTCTTTTAATATACATATTTAAATTTGTTCCACAATAATGTCCAAATATCTTATTGTTAAGACACATAGTAAATTTATGAAAAATTTCGTGAGAAATTCTGCTCAAATTATTGTAAGTATTAACAAAGCGTTTTACATAATATCCACAGAGTATCTTTGCAAAAAGAAAAAAAAAAAAAAAAAAAAAACTCTCGGTGAGTGTTCACATACTTTCACGAACAACCTCGTAGTCGTGATATTTTCGAATCTTTACAACGTGTCCCGTTTTACAGTATGCATCGCCACTTCCCGAATGGCTGTCACTTCCGGCACAAGCCGCGCGACGTCTTGTCACCGGCTAACGCGCCTAAGTTGCGTAACGCGTATGCGCGAATCAAAGGCGAGAAAAGGGGCAGCAAACGCGCTCGCGACGATAAAGCACGTACGTCGCCGCGCGACGATAAAGCGACTTTCGCGGTTGGAAGGGCCCGGATACTCCGGATGGAGA